CATTTCCTTTAACAGCCTTTCAAACTGATCTGCACTGTGCTGCAAGACAATAAGTCATGATGTCTCCTCTTAGGCACAGAATAGCATACATCTCTTTGTAAAATAGCCACTAGCTTTTTCTTTTTCCCTTTTTTTTCCTTGGGGGGTGTTGGTTAAGAATGTTTTACTTTTATATGTTTCAAAGCATAAGCTATCCAGCCAAAAAGGATTGGCATTCTAAAGCAAGGTTTTTTATTAGACAACCAAGCAAAATAGGGAATCCACATCATTAAAGCATCATCTAAAGTATCTCATTTCTTCTCAGAATTCCAACCACAAGCTTCTGAGAAATGTAGGAAATGCTAAAAGCTGCAATACTAATAGACTTTGCAAAAATGCAGCAATCCAGAAGAAAGAGTTCCCTTTTGATCCGTGCACAACAACTCTAAAACTCTGAGATGAAGTCTTATAAAGTAGATCTAACTTCTCTCTCCAAGTTGCAGCTTCATTATCCTTGGGCATAGGTTCAGCAAAGACAAGCTTGCCTGATCCAAAAAGTCATTCACACATTCAATCTACTTTTTTTTTTGGAAAATGAAAATTGATTACAATAAAAATAATTAGTAACACCATTCACCTCAGCAGCACTCTCACCAAGATTTTTGTATATATCTTCGCATTCTTCCAAAGTCATTAGTTTGATCCCAAGAGCAACAGCTAGCATCCCACCAGTTGATGTGCCACATATTAAATCAAACAGCTCATGTATTCGCTTTCCAGTTCCCTTTTCAATTTCCTTCAGAATTTGCACAGTTGCTAAACCTTTCATTCCACCCCCATCCATTGATAGTATGCGAAGTCCTTGCTTTGCCACCTGCCTCCCTCTTATTGCGCGCCGAAGGTTTTCATTTTCTCCTACAAAACACAGCACGAAGAAATATGAACATTATTCAGGTTTTTCTGCCAGCATTCACTAATCACATTAAAAGTTAAAATATGATGCAAATTATATCAAACAAAAGAAAGGTGGGGGAGGGGGAAAAAGAGGACACAAATCTAGGGACAAACCAAGAATTGCCAAAGCACGAGCTGCAGCTTTACTCACACGAGGATCAGTACCAACTGTCAGACGCAGGAGAAGCTCTCGCAAGCTTTCAGAAGTAACGAGAATACGCCGATTCTCCAAACAGAAGGCCAAATTCCCAATAGCCAACAAAGCAAGCCTTTGTACCTAGAGATGATAGAAAGAGGGTCCTTAACAATACAAGGCAACCAATCAAATCAAGCCAAAACAGATTAGTAGCTTGCCTCTGGATCTTTTCGGGCACATAAACATTTTAATGACCTCAATACATCTTTGGTCAACATCTTCTCAGCCACAGTATCGGATATAAATGCCAGCTTCACCACAAGTTGCAATACAGACATCACCTCTTCCCGACCCATAGATTTGAGAACTGATTCTATAGGTTGCATAACATCAGCTTTTATAAGTTGCAGTGCAACAGGAATATCTGAGGCAAGAGCAGAAAGAGCAGAGCAAGCTTGCTCAACCTGCGTAAAACAAAATAAAGAATTAGCACAACTGCCTAGGATAGAAAATCAAATAAATGCAATATGACATCTAGATCCATTAAACTTACCACATGACGGTTGTCACTACTGATCATGCTAATAAGCTGCCGCACTGCATTCTCATCTTTACCAACAAACACTCTATTTCCTTCATCTTGCATTATCTTTGCAAGTGCAGAGGCTAGCAAAGGGTGATGACAAGAAGAAAATCGGAATATGAGAGAGAAGAAGGCACTCAGCTTATGCCTAGATGCAATAAAATAGGAACTGTTTTCCATCTGCATTTACCATAAAAAGCACATTTCACTGAATATTTTACTTGTTCAGAAGAATAATGGCAATAAATCCTCATGTTAGTTTGTCATATACTACCTCTATTTGCACATTCACTGATCTTAAATATTCATCCGCCTCGATCCTAATATTTGCAAGAGAAAGGTGGCGAAGTTTGTGGAGGGGTAAAATTTCAGGAAGAAACTCAAGAGGATTTCCAAATAGCCTAAGGACTTGTAGTTCGGCCATAGCCCTGCCATAAATATAGGATAAAAATCAGAACAAAATAACACATGGAGTCCAAACTAATCAATACGAGGTTGCTTAATAGAACAACCTGAAGTCTAGAAGAGGTCGAACAAGCCTGTTGTGTTCCAGTGACAATTCCACCAACTGAACACACTGTCTCAGCTCCACTGCTAAAAAATGCTATAAAAATCATATAATGTTTTCAAGAAACATTTATCTTATGACACCAGCAGCTAAAAGATCGATTTGTTTGCATCTGAATGCTCATCATATTTAATAAAAAAACATGTAAATAATACGGCCTCTCCGAGTAAGACAAAAGACTATCATTCTTACGAGTTAGCGTTCAAGACATGAAAACCTCACCAGGTACTGACACAAGCATGTTGTTGTTAACTCTGAGCACTCGTAAACTTTTCAGATCACCAAGCTCAGGAGGCAAAAATGTCAGCTTGTTGCTGTCAAGATAAAGTTTCTCAAGCTGTGACAATTGGGTAAGCTCTACCGGAAATACCTGTACATGAGTAATGCATTTAATGATTTAATAATACCCCTGATGCAACTCAATAAAGTCTCAATTCCAAGTTCCAACTAAAAATAGAAACCCAATTGCTTCTTAAACATTCAAGGAGGGTGGAAGGGGCGGGGGATCAAAACCACACAATTTCTTTCAGTTGTGGCTACCCCAGAAATGTTAAGAAAGAGAGTAACATTATCAATTCCTAACATTTTAGCATTATGCTTCATAACACACCAACAATTCGGGAGTTAAAAAATTCAAAAGCCAGAAGTTTTAGCGCTATTAAGCACTTATCCATCCTGGATCTCCAATTCCTTAACACGACATACACACAAGACACAGAAATGAAGCAAGAAAAAGGTTTTTTTTTTTCCTTTTTGCAAATTGCAAAGGTCTACTATTGCCATTGTCTACAAGTTAAACTTTTAAACACGGACACATAAATGGTCCGAAGGAAAACAGAAATCAGAGGTGCATAAAAGAATGGATATAGCAAGAAAGTCGCAAAAATAACATGAAAACTCGAAACTCCTCCTAAGCTAATAACACTCACCGACAAGTTACAGCCGCATATACTGAGCACAGAGATACTCTTCCAATGGTCACCACAACCTGCAACCCCCTCTCCGATAGTGGGCATTAAGGGAGACAAATTGGACCGTATCAAGCGTGTCAATACTCCAATCCCATCGCTCTGTTGCCCGGAGCCAATAGCCTTGGTCATTGTGATAGCCTTCAGAGGCTCCCGTCTCTTCACCACCTTCATATCCAAATCCACATTCTCATCATCGACGGGCTTCAATTCAACCACCACGGAATCTTGTGGCATCGGCAGAGCCACCATGAGCTGCGATTGGAGCTTCAGAGCCACCTGATCGTCATCCTCCGATGCGGACCAATCCAGGTCAATACGAAACCCGAGTTCCTGTTCCTGAGAGAGTGTTGAGGAAGAGGAAGAATGTGACGAAGCAGACGACGAACGAGATATGGATGAGTTATGGCCAAGAATTTCCGCAGGTTCCTCGGTGCCATAGTTGAGCGTGAGACGGAAGATCTCCGAGGGTCTCTTCCAGCCCAATCCCCAAGACATTATGATCAAGGATCAGCTGCAATGTGAACGAAAGGTTGGGAATTGACCTGGAAGCAGCATTCGGAATCTACGAGGATCCGATCATTGTTGACGGGTCGGATTGGGAAAAAAAAATTGAATTACGAAAAAGAGAATGAGGAATATGATTGTCAATTAGGGCTCAGAAATTAAAGGTGGGGCTTCAATGCGGATTGAAATGCAGAGGCGGACAAAAAGGTTGAAGTTTTGATGATGAACTGGGAAAGAGAGAGAGACTGAAACTGAAGAAACTAACCGACGCTGTTTTCCATTTTATTCAAAATTCCTTTTTTTTCGCCCTCTAGATGGAGTTGGTGGTCAGTTGCCCGGCGCAACTGCGAGTCGTGTTTTCGCGGGGAGCATTTAGAGATGCAGCGGAACGCAGTGTCGTTTATACAAGGCCGACGGGGTCGTCGTCCTTCATAATTTCCTTTTTTTTTTTTGGGTGAATCGTACTTCATAGCAAATTGACAGAGAAACCCAACACGTTTTCAATTTTCATATCACAAATGTTGTCCAAATCATTTAGAAAGAAAAATAAAATGATCCCAATTATAGAATTAACTTCAATCTAATGCCATTGATAAGATTAAATCTACAATTTGGCTTCTGAAACATATGTGTATTTTCATCTTTCATCATTTGAATCCGTTTCCTTCCACAAAATAAACTTTTTAATTCACTAATTCATATACATAGAAAGTCAATCCCTTGGATGTGTATTTTAAAAAAAGGAGTTGATGACAAATTGAAAATATAAAAAATTACAAAGTTTGAATTGTTCATTGATGTTGGGTCTTGTGGCCTAACAATACCAAATTCTCTTCTTTTTTAAGTTTGAAATTGTGAGATTGAATGAACAAGTATATAATTAGTATGCAAGTTACGACAATAAAGAATTACTCATTTATCTATGGCCAAAGAAAAGAATGGCTCCTTTATGGAAAGTAACAAATTCAATTACTATAACATTTTTAATTTATAAATTCACATATATCATGAACTAGGTTATACATTAATCTAGTTAAAATGTTGAATTGGCTTATCTTGAGGGTTATGAGGTTTTTTTCCTCCCGTTCTCTCATTCTCAAATTTTGCCTCTTAATATATTCATCTTGTGACTTATAAAGGAACGCTTCGACCATAATCATGTGATTTTCTATTAAGGGGTGTTTGATAACCTTTAAAAGTGTTTTTAAAAAATATTTTTCTACAAAATAAAACAAAACCCTTCACATATTTATTTTATAAATTATAAAAGCACTTTTGAAATCATATATCAAACACCCCCTAAATACATATCTCTTGGTCACGCTTGCACCATAAAAGCCAACTGCTGGGGTCAGAAGTTGTTGTGCCATGATCAAGGTCTTGTTATTTTTGTCTTTTTTAATTATTATTTGGAATTACTCCGACTTCCTAGTACAGGACATTGCATTATTATTTTCGTAAAGAAAGCTCATTTTAGGGGGGGCAATGTCGGTATACTAGTCTGTCTGACTCTTCTCAAAATGACGAGTTTGAATTAGAATTGGCAAGTCAATCAAACCAATGTTGCCCCCCATATCAATCCATATAATAATCAAAAATATATTCCCAAGTTATTTAAAAAAATGGTACAATTATTTATCAAATTCACAAATCCCAAAAAAAAACATTTAATTATTACTTATTAAAAAGTTTGATCAGTTTCATTTTTGTGGGAACTCTTATAAAACTACCTGTTTGGCTTCGTTAGTCAAATCACAGTTTGATTAACATGAGTTTAAACACCACAAATGTTGAAGTCAAGAAATTCTCAGCTTTGGTTTTGAAAAAGCAAAGAACTAGTCTGCCTTGATATATAGTTCTTAACTTGGTCTCTGTATTTTCTATAAACCATCTCCACCTAAAACAATTCCAGCTTGCATAATTTAAGCAATTCGCATTAGTTTAGAAAGACTTGGAAAAGCTGGCAAGGTTAGCCTCTATGGTGAGATAGCAGTAACTGGACTATGATGTTTCAGAACTTAAATGCAGGTACCATCATGTTAATGTTGTGAAAAAGAAAAACTTCAAAAAGAAAAGTCCAAAGCTTCAAGAGCCAAAGTCTTGTCAATAGTCTTGCAACTTAATTGTACAAAAGTTCTCCGTAAATGGAAGGTTACAGATTCGATCTCGTTGGTAATCTTAATCTGTTAGTACCTGCCCTCCAAATTTAAAAAGAGCCAATGCCTCAAGTAGCGCTCATGGTGTGAATCTAATGACTAAGCTGCCTAGGCACACACAAGCAGCCATCCACAAGATAGAGGCAAAATTGAAGCCTTAAGAATAGTCTAAAATGGCGGAGGAGATAAGTTCATACGCACCTAAGTAAGTCCAACCCAGATTTGGCAAAATATAAATGAGGCTAAATGCAGGATTACCAGCAAAAATAGCAGCTAAATAAACATATACCTAATGGATTGACTGACTCCAATAGTATGGCCAGACAAGAAGTTCATCAAGATGCAAAGTCATTCTTGAATATAACAGCTAAAAGCAGGAGGCTTTACTGCTCAATACAAATTACTACCTAGATGAAATTAAGTACTCATGCATCGAAACTCTTTGCCGCTGAATTGAAAATACTTCTTAACTCCTCCTTCACTCCGTTATCTGCGAATACAAACTCAACAGAATTCTTTGACAGCTCAAACATTTCTTTCTTTCCAAGCCCTATATTACAGCCACACCAAGCAAACAGTCAGTAGAGTGACATTGTTTGAAATCATTTAGTTGCAACAGAAAGGCATAACTTACCAAACGTAGAAGCAGCAATTCTGTATTCATCAGAGAGACTGGTAGAGAACACACCAGTATCATCAGTACACAGGACTACAGGGTGGTTTGCGTTATACAAATCAGCTGCATCAGCAGAGGCATCATGTTAAGAAAGGCTATTTAGAGGTTATCCATTAAAACAAATGAAGTTCTGACTGCATGAACTGATAGCAGATTAGCTCATATGTAAACGGCAGCATTTTATGTTTATGGTTTGACCTCGAGTCTTTTAAGAGAACCAAAATTGTCAACTCCTTGAGAAAGAAAGCAAGCAAGAAAGTGGATAAAAACAGAATGGATAAACAGATTGTTTTGGTAGGTTCTTTGAGCTTACGCAAGCACACAAAAAATACCAGTAATGATTATGTTTAAAAATATTTAGAATATATTTTATAAAATCATTATCTTTACCTCAGCCTAGCCTCTGGTTTTATTGAAACTAATTTTCATCCTTCAGACTACATTTTGTAAGAGGTAATCTGATTTATTATGGCAAAACTTATTTTGTTATTTACCACACATAACGGCACCAATTATCTCCTAGAAGCGAGTCTGGTGACACAAATGTATCATTTTTATACCCTTGTAATGTGACAGTGAAAAGTGAATTTCTACACCAGCAACATAAAGTCAAAACTTCTTAGATAACATTTCCAATTCCCAAAACGTATATCTGACTTTTGTAGAATGAACTCTTCCAAAATCATTTATCAAGTGATTCTGGCTATATCTGATAGTAATTCCAAACACACTGGTAAAATTGAAAAGTCAGTAGTTTCCTTTACTAATTCAAAATTAAAGATCATCATCTTCCGATATAAACCAAGTTAACCTACCAAAATGGTGAACATCTAATGATCGAACAGAGTCTGTCCTTAGGTTTGAAGTCAAACAGATCTCAACCTGAAATAGAAAAGATGCAACAAGTAACGAACACCGAAGTGGCAGTGTTACAAAAGGCTTTGAAAATTAGCAAAAGCACAAATTGAATGATCAGTAAACAGGCAGTCACAGTTTCCCATTTCTTAAAAAAAAAAAAAATTAGGCTTTGAACATCGGACAAAAATTAAGAGTCTGCAAAACCTCTAAACGGATTATCTATAAGAAACTTCTGAAATTTGACAATTTAACCAATAGTATACAATAAAATATTTTTCCGTGTTCCCAAACAAGTCACAATATACCACTACTTAACTTCACTTGTGATGAACTAAAAAATGTAGCAAAATCTAACCGGAATGTTGTAGGATTTTAGTTTTTCCCAGTCTTCCTCATCCAAGAAAATAGCATGTCCAATCCTTTGGGGATGGAAGTTAAGCATGTCCCTTATCTCCTTCGCATTAGGTACCTAAAAACACTAAGTCGGAAAAAAATGAAGGAGTCAGGTAAACTTCAATAATACTAGGCGAAAGCTAAAGATGAGCGCACCTCTCCACAGTGGAGGGTTATGTGAAGACCTTGTTCTCGAGCATATTTCAATGCTGGCAAATATGTAATCCTGCAACAATATACGGAGTTTTGAGCTTAATCATTTCAAAAGATAAGAGTTATCCTCTAGAGTCAAGGTTGAGATTGGCTACCATTCACCAACAACTGGATTTCCAGATAGGTCTATTCCAACCACCCCTAAATGCCTCATTTCCAGAGCAAGGGAGACCTAAAGCGAGAAGAAAAATGGAGTCTATTAATACCCCCAAAAGACTCAACATTTGCTCAGATATCTCAGAGTTTCAGCTTACAGTTTCCTTTGCTGCCTCAGTTGTCTCCCGTCGGTCAATGCTCAGCAGAAGCCTAACAACGATTCTTTTTCTAGTATTTAGATTATACTTATGATTTGTTGCTGGGGCTAGCAAATTTACAAGTCCTTCAGAATTCACATTGTCAGGCATGAAATCCACATCAACTGAGCTGACAGCTCTCAGACCTTTCAGCACAGCTTCAACATAGGAGCGTTTGGTCATTCCAATCGAATCATTAGCCTGAATGGAATTCATAAAACATTTACCTTCATCAAATAAATTCAACGGATATGAGTACAGCTCAAATTCAGAATGGAGCTCCTTGCATTACCTTTGGAGTAGTTCTCAACTCCAGATACACAACATTCTCTGCTGCAAAATCTTCAATAACCTGCATTTGATGATACTTACATGAATGCAAAGGCAATAAATTTGGCATTATAATTTATACAGTAAACAAACAGCCATACTTCTTTGGTGATTCTTGTAACTGCCATGTGATCAGTTGTGATAAGGTGGATTAGGTCAAACAACTCGAATACTTCCCCTAATGAACGATCCTCTGTATTTACAAAGCCATAAACAACACCGGCATTGTGTCGTTTAACATCAATAAGCAAATAAGGATCACTGAAAGTGAAGTCAGGTAACAAATAAACAGCAAGAAGATTAGGACCTCCCTAACAGAAGATTTGAAAAAATTTTATGTTTAGGAAAAAAAATTCTAATGAGGAGTAAATTTCCAGCAGAACATTGGTACTAAGAAACACAATCAAAAGGTTCACCTTTTTTATTATCTTTTTAACTGCCTTCAGGTGGTAGCAACTATAGGGCACAGATTCTTGCACATATAAAACTGTTTTAAAAAAATACTATGAATTCCCTGACAGAAAACAACTTAGACGATGGCAGAGTCTGATAAATAGATGGTGAAAAAGAGGCAGACGTATTAGCACTTAGTAAGCTAACAATTTGCTACAGACCTACTTATCTTTAGTACTTTAATACTAATGGGTGCATCAATGAGTCCCAAAAATAAGAAATTAGTCCTTCCTTATTTCTCAGACTAATTGATGCGCTCAGTAAAGCTGCATCGGCCAGAGGACAATCCACGTATGAAATTGTTAGTTTATCCAGCACTCTCTTAATTTTCCAGTTTTTCCCTTTTGTCAGAAAATAAACAGACAAGTGAACAAGAAAAAGAACAATGGTTGGGCATACTTCTGAGGATGACATGTTCAAGTTCGGAGAATTTTATGAGACCATTCTCGCCTAGAGCTCGAGCAAGTTCTCTGCAAAATGAGGAAGAAAGAAAAATTGAACCCAGGCAACTAAGGAGTTGATGAAAATTGAAAGAAATGAAAAAAAGAAAGAAACTTACAGAAGCGTGGAGTGCCTAATGGATCCATTGAGGTGAGCATGCAATTCCACCTTTGGCATTGAGACCCACCACTCCATCTCTCTTCTTTTCTTCTCTTCCTCTCACAAATTTTCTCACTGGGTAGACAGATTCTTCAATGTCTTGTATTGACCTGAACTACAGATTACAGAATGGGCGCTAGAGGATGGGTTTGCTTATATGCATAGGGGTCGCGCAAACGGAAAGCTAAAAAGTCTATGCCGTCCAGAGCCCAACTTACTCGTGGAAAATGAACCTTTTTTCCCCTTTTTTCTTTTCAAGAAATCAATGACCCTGAAGTCAAACTTTACAAAATCAAAATAAAGATTTTCTTTTGTGGAAACTAGTCGACCCCCACTATTGTTCTTTTACTGAGCCCACCAAAAATAAAACAAGTTGGATTAAAGAAAAACAAATAAATTCATGAAATTAAGAAAAGTGCCATACATGTTTTGTATACAATATCAAGTTTTGGTAATATTTTGATGATTTTAAAAATTGACATATTGATGGATGAAGCATTTGGGTGGGAAACAGGGATGAGTTGAGGAATGACTTGTGGATGTGACAAGGCTTTGTGTTGAAACCAAAGTTGTCCGTATCACAAGTTGAAGGCACTATTTCAACAAATAGTTTGTCCAACAATAACATCGAAGAACTTTACTTTGCACCTTCTTTGTTTTTGTTCACTTCATGCTGATTGATTGATTGGACCCCCACCTCAAGTTGCTTCCTTCTCGTTACCTTTTCACTTTTTTGACCCCTTTTTCTGTCTAATTGTTTTTTCATTTAACAGCTATTTGTGTCTCTCTTAGGATGACTAATTTCATACTTGTTTTTCTCACTTTCAAGTCCACAAATGCTATTGGCCAAAAACAAAAGTCCATATATGCTTGAGTTTCTCTTTTCATCCATCTAACTTTCCTAGCTCTCTCTCAATTGAGTGCTTCTCTCACGGATCTATTTGTGGATGAGCAGTTCTACAAATTTGTGTTCTTTTTCAGAAAGAAGGGTCAACCATGTATTGAAATTGCATCCCATGTTACGTCACCTGCCATTCTTTTCCGCACCTTTTATTTGCACACCTTTGATTTTACTTTAGTTTGTCATGTAACCCTATTTTTAGGAAGGGTTTTATGAAGCGATCTTTCCCCAGGTACATGTTTAAAGTATGAATTAATCACACAATTCACAATTCACTTACCTATGAAGTTGAGCAAAGACTTTCTAAATCCGTAGTTAAAAATCATATCTGTTTTACATCTTATCTCCTTTAAAACAAACAAGACAAAAAGTATAAGATCTATGGAACAGTTTAATATAGGACAAACAATTCACTGATACAATAAAGTTAGATATATATTTTCTCTGGGTTTTCTAAAACAGAAACGTGAAGATGATACATGAAGTTGGGAAGCCGGAAAAGATATATCAGAATAATAGAAGCGGGTGTTAGGTATAGGCAGGAGAACGGTATGTTTGATGTTTTTGCTAGGGTTAGTGGATAGCGTATGGGAATGGTTAATTGAAAACCGGAAGGCAAGGGGGGGAAGATCTTTGCATGGATTCGGGGTTTGGGATTGGGACAAAGGAGTCTCCGAGAATCTGACACAGGTTAACGTAAGCAACAAGGGACACTGCATGTGACTCACCCCGGCCCCCCCCCTCTCTGTGTTTGCTTCCTTGCAATGTCTTTCTCCGATCCAGGATGTCCCAAGATTCGCTCAATCTCCTCGTGGTCCTTTGTGATCCTCGGTTTGGTAAAAACCCATCACCCCTCACAATACCAACAAAAAGTTCTATTGCACCACGTTCATGTACTTGGCTCGGTCAATATCATGTAAAACAGATTGTCAGCCAAAAGACAAAAAAGCAATCATTTAAATTTCAAAACAGATTGAAAAAAGACATTTAGTATTATTTTCCAAGCAAATCCAATACCATAATCTAACAATTTGATACCACCTCCGGTGATTAATATAAAAATTTATTTAACATTTAATTTGGTTCTAAATATAAAATCTTAACTTATTTTGTCTCTTATATTTATCTATTTTTTTAAGATAGTCCTTCTAGTAATTGCACGTATTAAATGATATATCAAATGGTTATTGTAGCTAATACACATGATTATTAAGGATTTTATATTTAGAAGCGGAGGAGTATAATTTCATTTATAGTGTATTAAGAACTCCTGATGTTGTTTTTTGGTCATATCCAGAATCTTATTTGGGGTTGAGGGTGCCAGATGCATTATTTATGGTGATCAAGGAGCAGCATTGTATGCTACTTTACCCTTTAAAATAGTATAGTCTAAACACCCTGGTTTTTGTTTGATCTTAGTAAAATCTTAATTTAGTTTGTCTTCCAATTTCATAACATTTTGCTCAAATGACCTTATTAGTTGCGAATATTAAATGGGGATTCTATCAATAGAGGTGGTAATGATAAAATGGTGTATCATATCCCCAGTATTTAGATATGTATATGAATATAAATATATTCTAAACGTTGTTTCATAGATTTTCCTTTCTGGCATAGGTTTTTTTTTCATGCAAGAAAATTTAGGTGAGTTGGGTTTCAAAAGCTTATCAAAGTTAAGACATGCTTCAAAACTCAAAGAGCACTTACAAATTTACTTATAGATCACCTGCTAACAAGGTCATCACACCGGCAAAGCAATTCAAATTCACAACCTTGTGGTTTGTGAGCCAACTTCTTATTAATTAAACCAATTCTTCTTAGTTGTCTTGGCATTTTGTTTTTGGTAAAAAAACAAAAGTCTAGGTGAGTTGGATCCTAAAAGATCACCAGAGCTGAGACATACCTCCTGGCTCAAAGAATATTTATAAATTGCCTATCAATAAAGTCTTTATATCAATAGCAGGATTAGAACTCATGACATTATGGGTTATGAGTTAACCATTTACCAATTGGACCAACCTTGGTGGCCTAATTGTTTCATAGGGTTTAGATCTGATACTGACAGGAGGTATTCCTAACGCGATTTGTTAGGAAAACAATGTAGACTTAAGATGGGCCAATACTAATGAGCCCAGTTGAAGAATGGCCTGGAATGCACAAGGCCCAGTTTAGTTCACATTTCAAACTGTTTTTCTCTCTGGCCTTTTTGGGCCTCAATGTCTCATCGTTCTCGGGTTACATAAACTTTTTCGACTAAAAAAGAGCCAGACGCTTCATATCATATTTTTTGTTTTCTTTTTGGGCCATATTGTCTCTTTGTTTGAATCAGCCTCTAAGATATATATATATATATATAAAAATTAAATCATGGTAATATTTTTATATTAGAAGTATAAAATACTATTTGGTAATTTTTTATGGATTCATTTTTCTGTCTGTACTCACCAATCATGCAAATGTGGAATAGGCATTAAATTCTTACCATAATGGATCCACCAACTTCATTTAACTTATCCTCTGAAATCATTAATGCTACAGATCAGAATCAAATTTACGGGGTCCATGAAGATTAACAAAGGGATTTTAAATTTAAATTAAAATATTTAAATTTCTTCATTCAATATCTATGAGACAATAATATCTTCCTATAACGTTGTTACAGTTAATGGTGATAATAGGGCGGTGCCCGGCTTCTGCAAGGCGCGCTCTCTCTCTAATCTCCTGCCCCATGCTCGGAATTTATGTACTAAGGTTGCATTTTCAAGCGTTGCTTACTGAAAGTAAGTTACTCATCCAGTTTTTAATATAGGACTTAATTATTGAGTTGATTTTGATTCTAAATATAAGACTCATTTTTTATATTTATCGATTTTTTCTAAATTACTCCTATAGACACTTTCAACCATAATCAAGTAGAAGAGAAAGATGTGGTATTAAGAAAGATAATTATAATATTTTAGGAAAAATGTGTCACATTTCTTATAATTAATAACTTACCTAATTTCTTAATCAGATCCAATTAGTTAAATAGGTCTTATATTAAAGAGCGGAAGAGTATTATGTTTTTTTATATAAAAATAATTATTATGTTTTGCGTTGTGAGTTGGTGTGTATAGTGCGCGCGCTGCCATCTTGTGGGAACCAAGTTATATATATGTGTGTCTATACTGTTTTATTACTCCCTCCATCCCTTATTATATTATAAACAATCTTTAGTTAAAAATATTACCTCCGGTCCTAATTATAAGACCTTACAGAACCGGAGATAATAATAAATATATAAGATATATTTATAAGCACATATTTTTTAATTATATTTTTTTGGTAAAGAGGGCATATAAGATATAATGAGTAAAAATTTATTGTAGAGAAATAATAAGTAATATATATTTAATGGGATAAAAGTAGAAATTATTAGTCTAAAATTTCACACAGAAAAGATTTGTTTATTATAGTTACCGATATCACTATAAGAGAGATTATTTTCTATAAAAAGTTACGGAGGGGATATAATATAATTGGCTATAATATATATATATATATATATATCGGGTCATGCATCACTTTCGTGGAAACATGCTCCCTCTTGTCCTTACACGAGCTTTTCTAAAAGAAATTTTTAGTTCTTTTTACATATAAAGCTTGAAATAATTAAAGAAGGGAATGGATTTTGTTTTTATTTTTTTCGCCGGGGGGAATGGATTTAATTATGTTGGACTGTGAGATCTACGTAATTTGACGAAGAATAACTAGCCAGCTAATTTCGCATTAAATGTCGTACACCCAACTCCCCAAGTTCCAGGCTAGTTTTCTTTTTCTTTTTCTTTTTTTAAAGGTCACATCCTTCACGAAAATTAGTTTTTTTCCGGTGAAGTGCTTCAAGAAAATTAATTTGCACCATGCCGCACTTTCTCTACAAAAATTTTTAATTCGATTTCTTTAGCAAATTTAAGTGTCGTGATAATAATTCTCTTTTCTTTTCCCCTCCTGTATCTGGTATCCTAAACCAACTCTTATATCACGGGAAACTCAATAAGTTTAGACTAATCTGGATTCGAGGCATGATAAAAACTACTAACTCCGGTCCTTAATATAAGACCCTGTTTGACTTTTGTTTTGATCATAAGTATAAGATCCCAATCCACTTTGGCTCTTATATTTACTTAATTTTTTCCAAGATAATCCTTCTAATCACTATAGTTCTAGTCAATACACTTGATTAGTAAGGATATTTTAGGAAAGATAATACCTATTTAGGACAAATAACTAACTCACCTTACTTTTTTAATCTCCTCAAATTAGTCAACTAGCTCTTATAATTAAGACTGGAGGTAGTATTAAAGTTAGTACTTCGGCCTCTTAGAGTACTGTGTTCTCAGGTTTTAAAGTTGAGACTTGATTAAATTAGAATGACTCCGGTTAGTGAATTCAACCCTTCAAGATAACTCTCTCTTCCTCTCTTTTTTAACAGGCTATTAATCTACTTTACCATATTTCCCTCTGTTCTTTCATCTCATGCATATGTGTCACGCGCCCTTTCGGCTTCATAAGTCACCATCCCTCTTGCCATCGCTTTCCTTCCTTCAATAAATAATACGTAGTACAAAGGAAATTTGACGACAGCCATTCATTGTATGTGGTTCTATATATGCTAGCCAGGTTGTTCATGGACGACAAGGGCAAAGATCCGAAGACGCGTTGGTCTAAAACATAATAATACTACCTCCGATCCTTAATATAAGACTCTGTTTGATTCTTATGTTGGTCATAAATATAAGACCCCAGTCTATTTTATTTCTCATATTTACTCGATTTTTTCTAAGATATTTCCTCTGATAATTATAATTTTAGCCAACACACTTGATTAGTGAGGATATTTTAGAAAAAACAACACATATTTGTTACAAATAACTAACTTAACTTCTTTTCTTAACTTTCTCAAATTAGTCAACTAATTCTTATAATTAGGACCGGAGGTAATATAATATTACCTATAATCCTAAATATATAAGATTTATAGTTTGTAGTGTAAATTAGATCTTATATTTAGTATTTATATATAATCTTTATTATTATTAGTTTTATTACTCATTCGATCCTGAATACAAGATTCTTATACTATTCTTAACAAAAATAAGACATAATTTTACCAAAAAATAACAAGGTTGAAGATTATAACCTCATAAAAAATACGCAAAGAACATTACTTGTAATTAAATTTGATAATATTTGAATCTGACTGAGTAATATGAGACTTTGGACATTGATACTGAATATTATATAATTGTACAAAATGTAAATAAAAAAAGATCGATTCAGCCTCTTGTTTTTATATTTTAAAAAAATATTATCAACAGCTCTGCGTGTGATGGGAGGAGAGATGAATCCATGTGGGTATGAAGATTAAAGCAGCCATTTGCTGAAGATGGGTGAGCAATAACTTCACGTCCATCTACCCCATGAAGTACTAATTATTATGGCTATTTGATTCCACCCCGTTATTAATGCCCCCCTTTCTTATCACCTTCCAATACCTACCACGAAATCCGCCATTTTTTAATTTAATTTTCTCTTTTTCAAAAAAACCTTAAAAAAGTCTGCGCAAAATAATCCTAAAACAAATTTGTGTTTTTGGTAGTGTCGGCCTTTTTGTCCCTCATTTATTTTTCCTAAATAATGTCGTAGCTGCCGTTTGCCCTCACTCGAGCAAATCTTTAATTTCCAGGCAATTAATCCCCCAACATATTAATAGAGTAATTCATTGACATGAACTAGTTAATATTCATCTTTAATACTTCTCCAATCCTAATTATAAGACATATTTTGTAGTATAATTTTTTAAATATAAGACACATTTTGCAGTGTAAATTACGCTACAAAATGAGTCTTATATTTAGGATTAGAAGAGTATATTACTTTACTTGATTATTATATATATATATATATATATATATATGAGTAGTTTTGGGGTGCCTATAATAATCATTGATAGGAAAAATCACAGGTTGAAAATTATAGAGCATTCATCATTGTGAGAATTCTTGTTAACGTGCAGTAGTATTCAATATTGAAGACAATCCTTTTTATTGTACACAAAATTAAAAGATTGGATCAGATTTTAATATCCGTAGTCTCAAATTTTTTATTTTAATTTCTATATATAGTTTCATACTTTTTTTTAGTCTAATAAATAGTCTTTACATTTTTAACAAGTTTATTGTGTTTTGATTTCTATACTTAAACTTAGATCAGATTTTTATGAAATTATAGAGGCAAAAAAATGATATAAAACTAGAAGAATCAAGGCAAAAATTGAATAAAAATGTAAGGAGAACAATAATATTAACCCAAATAAATATATTGACATGAAGTGTTTGAATTGGATAGAGGATAAACGAGATGGTGCTCATGGAGTAGCCAAGAATTGAATTTCTCTATATATCTATGCTAAACGTTAAACACGCAGGGACCCTGACCCACATTTATAGACAGCAATAAGCCCTCCGATCAGTGGGCGTCCCACTTCCTTGGATCGTCGTCCATTCGCTCTGAACCTCTCGTTCCCTTTTGCCGAATGAAGGAATTAATCGTCTTTGTTTTTTTTTTTTTGTAAAAAAAGTTACTTGTTCCATTGAGACTCTTATTGAAAACAACATCAACCAAAAAATAGGAGAAATCAGTACGCACTTATCGTCCAGCTTGCAACTTTAAAAACACATCAACCAGAGAACAAAAACAAGGAATCAGTACACAGTTGTCGTCGAGCTTGCAGCTTGCAGCTTTTTTTTTTTTTTTTTGACAGGGAAAATTACATAAAAACAATTAAAAGTTATAATATTTTAATTCAAGGCACCTAAAATTTTAAAATCTCAAAAAAAAAATGATGCCTGATTGAGTATTTTATAAATATAATTAAATGATAAATATGTCCTTGTATCAAAAAGTTTATGAACAATTTGTAAACGGCTAATAACAAGTATTAAACAAGAAATGATAAGAAATAGGTTGACAATAATAAAATAATTTATTAACAGGTTATAAACTGATAATGATAAATATTAAATAGTTAATAACAAAAAATATACCAATAATAATAAATTTGGTATGATGACATTTTAGTTATTTGACTATATTTATAAAACATTACATCAAACACCAATTTCTTCTTTAGAATTTTAAATCCTTAGATATTGGAATTGAAATATTATAATTTTCAATTTCAGGAAATTTTCTCTTTTAAAAGTTGCAGGCTAGACGATAAGCGTGTACTGATGTCTCCTTTTTTTTTATTTTATTGATGTTATTTTAAAGCCAGTATGAAAATTGTTAAAATGATGCATATGCGAATGTGTCCAAATCCAATTCGCAATCAAAAAGCAGTGTTGGAGAAAGTCATCTCACACATACTTTATGTCACTAACAACGTCGCTGGCAACAAAGGAAAAATGTTACCGACAACGTCACAGCACAATAGTAATGGTCCTTGTCGTTTCATGTTCTTAACTCCTATCTTTAATATAAAATCTTATTTGATTTTTATTTTGATTTTAAATATAAAACTTCAATCCGTTTTGTCTTTTATATTTATATATTTTTTTTAAAATAACCCTTCTAATAATAAGAGTTCTAGTCAATACACTTGATTAATAAGGATATTTTAGGAAAGACAACACCTATTTAGAACAAATAACTAACTCAACTGACTTCCTTAATCTCCTTAAATTAGTTAACTGGCTCTTATAATTAAGAGAGGAGACAGTAACTTAAATACATACGCGCAGAAGAAGCACCGTCACAAAATTTCATATAACCAATACAGATTTTAATTACAAGTTTAAATTATTTCCAGTGTAAGAAAAACCGGACCGGACCGGCCGGTTCAACCGGTAAACCGGTGAACCGGGCAGTGGTCCGGTCCGGTTCATAAGCTAAACCGGGGACCGGTTCAAACCGGATTGAACCGGTCAAACCGGTGTGAACCGGTGAAAACCGGTAAAAACCGGTATTGAACCGGTTTAAATAAATATATTGATATTTATCCTATTTTTTCTCATTTAACTCCTAATATCTCAATTATTATAGATTTAAATGAATTTTGATGATGAGTTTGGCATCAATAACTATTAATTTTAGTTATTGAAAAAATTATAAAGATCAAAATTCTCAATATTGTTGTACTTTATTATTATTACAATCAAATTCTTATTGTATTTCTTTATATTTTGTTATTAGTAATTATTATTATTGTTATATTTTGTCATTTTTAATTAAATTAAATTATTTTAATATGACCGGTTTGATCCCGAGTTGACCCCGGTCTGACCCATTAACCCTTGAACCACTACCTCAATCGGTTTAGTGTCCGGTCCGGTTTTTTGTTCCTTGATTATTTCAACGCTCCCAATTCTAACAAAATCATTTCGTACACACTTAATTGGTTAATTAACTAATGGACCATAAACTTTGAAGCTGAGCTAAAATAAGACCCAACATTCTTCCAACAAGAACATTGTCTGAGAAAAATCACATGCGAAGCAGGGAAACTTTTCTCTTTTTTTCAGATCTTGCTTCAAAGTGACATCCAAATTTTAGAACGAAGAATAATATAACAATCTATCATATTTCAATCCTGTAGTTCTTTCTCATACATCAATAAGTTTTAATTTAAGCTCACCGTGATCAGATCAGAAGACTTTTGAATAATAAATTGACCGAGGCACACCCCATTTATGATTTATCTCTAAATTGACCTGGGCACTATAACAGCTTTGAGGGGGTTCTTCATCACGACCGTGAAAGCAAAAGTTTCTGTCGGGTCGGGTGGGAAATTCGGAGCCGGCAGCCACTTGAAAGTATGCACCATCCTTGCCAGCAGTAAGCTTATATGCAGCGTCCCCAGCGTCCATGCCGGACAAATCCTCCGTCCGATTCCGAAAGGCATCATCTTCACCCCTTTCGTCCCTGTTATGTCCACGTCCACCCCGTCACCGGCTAAGAATCTCTCCGGTCGGAACTCATCCGGATTGTCCCACATACTCGGATCCTCCGTCAACCACGCCGTGTAAAACTCCACGCTGGCGTCTGCTGGTATCGTGTACCCTCCGAGCTCCGTCTCAGTGGTTGCTGCGTGCGACAGCACGAAATGGCTGGGTGGGTGTCGCCGGAATGTCTCCTTCACCAGTGCGGTGATATACGGCATTTTCTCCACGTCACTCTCCATAACGACACCGTTTTTCCCCACACAGTCCACGATCTCCTTGTACAGTTTCTCCTGAATCCCCTGGTCCGTCACCAAATGGAACAGAGCCCATTCCAAAGCCGTCGCGCTTGTGTCCGTCCCGGCGCTGATAACCTCCGACACTAACGTCACCAGCTCCTCCTCTCCGAGCCTGCCTCGACTAGGAACATCCAACCCGAAGAGCGAGTCCACGTAAGCAGCGCCGATCGGACTCACCATCTCAGAATTCTCGTTAATCTCCCCGTTGCTCTCTACGTAAACTTTTCTGCTTCTTATCAGTGGGGCTATAAGATCCACTTGCGTTTTCCTGAGCTTTTTCGCTTCTTTCACTTCACGAGTAAACAGGGGAGTTAGAACCGGTAAAAAATCTGGAAGCTTCGGAAGGGTGATGATCATAACGTCTTTCAAAATGCTTTCTATTCTTCTGATTCGTTTCTCAGTGATTTTGGCTCCGAAGCAGAGACATATGAGAATGCTACAAATCGTTAGTCTACAGTTGCTCAACACCTCGACGAACCCGTTTTCACGGGCTTCAGCTTCCATCCTCCCCATGTGAGCCTCCACCGCCCATTTCCTTATCCAAGCACACTGCTTGACCCTCAACGGCGTTATCATCTCCGACACCATGTTCCGCCGCAGCGTCCTCCAGAGAGGGCCGTACTCTGCAGAGTTGATGGCGCATTTCCCCATGCTGAAGATGAGCCGGATCGGCGAGTCAGCTGGTCGGCTCGCGAACAGAGGGCCTCGCTGTACGAGAGCTTCGTGGATAAGATCGGGGCTAGTAACGATGATCAAAGTACGTTGGCCCATTTGCATGGTGAAGATTGGGCCATACTTTTTCCTTAAATCGCGCACTACGTAGATGAAGTGACGGCGTTGGAGGATGACTTGGAAGAGGTTTCCGACGAGAGGCCACCCGGGTGGTCCTGGCGGGAGGTTTTTAGGGCCGCCACCAGTGGTGGACCAGCGGCGCCACCAGTAACGGAGGAAGAGGAAAGCTGAGAGGAGCAGGAGAACGTCTATTAGCTCCATCATTTTTGGAAAGGCAGAGCTGCCTTGCCAGGGGTTGATGAAAGGACGAAGGCAAATTGCTATCAGATAGCAAGGGGGCTTACGGCTTTTATAATGAAACGATGATTTCCCATTGGCCAGAATGCTTGTTTAGTCAAACAGTGGGCTTTTTTTTTTTTTTTGGTGAAACTGGGTTATAAAATTATAAATGCATACGGAGGCCAATGTCTCCCTGACTTCTCTTTCCACTTCCTCTTTCTTTAGTATCGGATTATCTCTGAAAATAGTTGAGATTTAAAATTAAGTAAAAATATTATTATAATATTAAATATAATAAAAATTTATCATTTTAAACCAGTTATATCATATTGCAACAGTATCTACTATTTATTATTTATTATTTAAGATTTAATATTTTAATAATATTCTTATAAAATAAATATCTGCTGTTAAAATTTGATCTAACAATAAAAACATTAAGTGAAGAGGTATGAGCTATTGTGAATTGCTCCTAATAAATGCTTTTCATCTATCTTGTGTCTTTGTATTTTTTTGGCCAACCATCTTTCACTGGAAAAAAATAAATTAGTAACAAAATTCAGTGACGAAATTGGTTGTTGCTAAACAGAATTAATGACAAAATTTTTTGGTCATTAATTATATCATCACTAATTATTTAGGGGTTAGTCAAAGAAAAGGGAAGTTATGTGGAGAGTTAAATCTTGAGGCTCAAAGAGTTTATTCTATTAAAGCACGGCCTCAGCTGTGTGTGTTCATTTTGTCAAACTAGGTTTGGTATTTGATTATACAAAACTTAAAACTGTGTTGAACGTTTTTTTTTTTTTTTGACCAGCATGTATTGAGCGTTGATATTACACTGTGCTATATCAAAGCAAGAGAGAATGCGAGGGTAGCCAACCACTAATATCATTAAAAGCGTTTGGTTCGCCCAAAAACAGAAACGTATTCAATAATTTCATATGAGAAAAAAAATAATACGAGTACCTCCGAACTAATTTAACTTTTAATTTAGTCTTAAATAAAAAATTTAAATTTATTTTGTCTGTTATATTTATCTATTTTTTCTAATGTAATTCATACAATAGTTGAACATGTTAAAAGTTTCATTAAATGAGAATTTTAGTTAATACAAATGATTAATAAAGATATTTTAAATAAAACCATACATATTTATTATAAATAACTAACTTATTTAATTTTTTTAATTTATTTAAATTAATCAATTAGTTCTTATACTGAGAACAACGAACAAGTAATACTATAGTTACAGGACACGTCCGGACAGCCGATGCACAGCAAGCACATTCATGAACGGAAAGTTAATTTTTCAGCATTAACTTAAATTTAAGTTCTTTATAATTTTATACGGTTTGTTTTTTTGATACAGTTTCATTAAATTATTATTTTTTTGTTCTAATAAAGTTATATTTATTTTCATTGTTTTGATAGATGTTAGAAAATTTTGTCTTTGATTATTCTAAAATTCAAGTTCTTGTTCAGTTGACTAAAGACTGGGAATTAATGTGCACAAGAATTTATATTAAGATATCCTGTACATGTAATTTAATTTAATAAATTGAAATTATGTATAAATTGGCACAACGTACAAAGTCTGGTGATTGTCGCTCTCACTCATCCGACATTTCATTTCACCATAAACTGACTGACAAATTAAAGTTAACAATTTTTATGTAAATGTATAATTTTATTTTTTATTTATTATTATACTGATTTTGTTTTTAAGAATATAGCGTATATTAAATAAAAATAAAGTTAAAAAGTTGTTAGATTATAAAAAAATTAATAAAACTTGAGATTTTGTTTAGTATATATGAAACATGTTAAAAGTTACTTATAATAAATAACAAGAACTAAGGAGTAATTGAGAAAGGATATCGGTATTCAATATGTCACCTTAGAAGAGGATGTGAACTTCGCCCTTAATCTTTCTCCGCTTGCTCATTCTTTAAATATTATTATAAATGAGGTCTTATAATTAAAAACAAAGATAGATTAATAAACAATAATATCAACTTTAGTTGTATAATCTCCTTCATGAATATAGTTAATTTTTTATTAAAAAATGAAGATAGGAATAGTGATACGGATAGCAGTCCATTCAACCACCAGGAAATGCTGATTTTGGTCGTATTTGTTCCTTTTTTTTTTTTCCTGGCCAGAGTTATTAGTATTTGGTGTGTGGGGCTAGTTGTCACCCGCATGCTAATATTGTCACATGCATGAAGGGAAAACCGTTTGGTAGTAACATTAAAATGGTGGGAACTATTTTTATCCTTTGGGGGAAAAAAACTAAAATACCCTAAAAAAATATTAAAGGACAAATTAAGGTAGATAAATTTCAAAATCTCAAATCAGACTTTTTGCATCATTTTAGAATTTTGAAATATTGTAAAATAATAACATTATCCTTATTCCCAGTAACTACTTTTACATAGATATTGACTATTTTTGTTTTCAAAGGTTTGATAACTACTTTTGTATAATTATTAACTACATAAAAGTAGTAAATAACTAAACGAAAAGTAGTCACTAGATCTCCAACAACACTCAATGTATTTTTTAATTTTTGAAACAATAGTAGTCAAAAGCAAATTAGAGTAGTCAATAGCTAAACAAGAATAGTCACTAAATTTTTAAAGATAAAAGTAGTCAATCGTAATACTAGAGTAGTCAATAGTTGGAGAAGAGTAGTCATATGAATTCCAAAAACAAATGTAGTCAATAACTAAAAAAATTAGTCAATACACAAGAAAGAATTGTTACTAGAGCTTCAACAACCGTTTACCAAAACTCCGGTGGCAAGCCCTGGGCGTCGAAACTCCGGTGGCCGGAACTGGCTAAGGGTGCTGATGTGGCAATATTTTTAAAAAAATAGTGACGGGTACTTATATAATTTCACAAGATTTGTAAATTCCCAAATAGTACTAGGAGACTAAATTCAGATTTTAAAATTCACCCATACTGATTTGTCATTTAGCAACTTTTGTGATATTTTATTGTCTTTTTCTCAATTTTTAATTTGATTTTTTCCTTTTAATTAAATACTCTAATTTTACTCTGTTGGCACCATACGTAGCTTCTGTAACTTTGCTTTATTAGTATCATTAGCCTCTATATAAAAACTAATTATGGTTATAGAGCAAGACAATAGTATTTAGGAGAAAAAATACATGGGTATCAAATAAAAAATTAGAGAAAACTATAGGTAGTTGTAAAATGATTCCCTTAAAATGGTTATAATAATTATAAAAACATATACTGTACCTATATTGTTGGTCACATTATTAGTGCAGAAATTAAAGCAAGTAGGTGGGTGGTGGGGGGTTAGGTTGGCCCCAGCATGGAAGGGAAAGGGGAGTTGCACTTCATTTATTTTAAAAAAAAAAAAGCCAGTTTCGACATTTTTATATATGAATATATATTTAATTAAGACCCACGTAACGTCGTAATAAAGACTTCAATTCTTGAATACAGTCGTATTTCCATAAGCATGCATATCACGTGATTACGACGTTGCGGGGAAAAAAGTCTAAGTGAATATTTGAATTTTTTTTTTTGCCATTAATATTTGAATACTAATTATTGATATCTATTTGGCCAAAAAAATTATTGAGATTAATCGTAGGTGCTTCATTGAGATTTGAGACATTTTTTGCGGTTGATAACTTGATATCCACTTTTTGGCCAAAAAAAAAAAACTTGATATCCACTTTGATCTTTAAATATCAAAATTAATTTTATTTAAATTATAAATAGACACGGCTTCCGCGGCCATAGATACTTGCAAATTCAGATTAAATTATGAATTCCTTCGAAGTAATTGACCATTTATATAATTAATTTCTTATTAAAATTTAATTTAATAAATCGAACTTATATATGATATTCTCGGTATAAATGAGATGTCTTTTTAAATAAACATTCTTTGCACTATAAGTCTCGAAAGGAAAAAATTTTGATCAAATAAATAAAGAAAATAACTTCTTTTTTATTAGTGTTCATAAATATAAAAAATAAATCATCTTTGTTTAAAATTTTATATTATTCTTTTCACTTTTACCCTCATTGAATATATGTATCTCATTATCTCTTTGCAATAAATTTTTACTTATTATCTTTTATGTATTTTCTTTATAAATAAAGGCATAATTAAAAAAATATGTATTTCTTATACATTTATTATTTTTTAATCAAATTTAACTAGTATTTTGAACTGCATAATTTTAATAATTGTTTGTTATAATAAGAGATGGGTATTTTGAGAAGCTCGAGAGGTCGCCGAGGAAAACCCTTGAGGTTCTTGGGTCGGTGAATCCTATTTTAGCTATATATCCTATTAATTAAGAAAGTTAGACAAAATTAATTATTGCTTATAAAATAACAAAGATTATCCTCTCCACAAAAAAATCATTAAGCAAAAGTAGTTAAGTTGATTAATTAAAAACTCTTATATTAACTAATAATACTACGTAAAATATTAATATTTTTTTTTTGCTACAAAAATTTTAAAAAAGGGGTTGGGCTCATCCACAATCGAAGGGTAAGACACCTAACACTTGATCTACTGTAACCTGTCCCTACTGGCACAGGAACATGACAAGCAAGTCTTTTTTTTTTTTTATGGCCCAGTAGATAGGAATCTCTCAATTTTACTAAGCTATAGTGATGCCTTTTCCAGTGCCGTGACTGGAGCTACAATAAAGTAGTACTCCCTAAGATCGAACCCCTCTATTTAGTGAGAGAGTCTAATCCTTTTGCTAGCTAAACCCACAAACAAGACGTAAAATATTAACATTTTAAGTTACCATTATACACAAATTTAATAATGGGCCCGCTCATCCTCTCCATTCATGTTGCTGCAAGAGTTGGGTTAGACTAAACATTTAACATTTATTACAGCGTTGTACGTTCATGTGTCAGCTACTATAAGGGTTTCGACGCGTACGGATGACTGCTGCGTTGTGGTCTTTTATAATGTTATGGAGTGATTGTGATTAATTAAGATGGCCCCAAAAAAGAAAAAACAGGGCCTTT